GCAGTTTAGCCCACAGAGCCATCACTCCCCCTAAAGAACAGGGTCTGCAGCTTGGGGGTGCTCCTTGATCCGTTTCTGACCTTGGAAGCCCAGGTGAAATGTCCAGGGGTGCCTTCTTACAGCTGTAAAGAATATGCCAACTTTGCCCTTACCTAGATGAGTAGAGCCTGGAAACAGTGACACATGCACTAGTAACAACCAGACTAGACTACTGCAATGCGCTATATGTGGGGCAGCCTTTGAAGACGACTGCAACTGGCACAGAACTGGGTTGCATGGCTGGTCAGTGGTGCCGCTGCAAGTACTCATATCACGCAGGTTCTGAAAAATTTACACTGGCTGCCAGTTGCTGCTCAGGCCCAATTCAAAGTGCTTACTTTGACATATAAAGCCCGAAACGGCTTAGGATCTGATTACCTAAAGGACTGTCTTCTCCCATACGAGCCTGCCGGTCCTTTAAGATCAGGCCAGGAGGCCCTTCTGAAGATGCCATCCCTGAAAGAGGTGAGGGGAATGGCATGCTGAAATAGGGCCTTCTCGGCTGTTGCCCACCAACTTTGGAACGCCCTCCCTGTAGAGATCTCCCTGGCGCTAACACTTTTGGCTTTTTGGCGCCAGGCAAAGACCGTTCTGTTTAGCCAGCATTTTAATTAAATAGTATTATTTAGTTGACCATATGAGCAGCAGGATTTATTAATATTAATGTTTTAATGACTGTTTTTAATATAGGATACTATTATAATATTGCCTATTTTTAAATGGTTTTAATGTTTTTTTCTTTACTTCAACTTAGCTTGTTGGTGAATTACAAGAAACAAATGAACATAGGAAGTGGAATCCTAGTAAAGCTACAGAAATCCTATTGGATGACCCATTCTTGATTGTGTGCATATGTGTGTGTGTGTGTGTGTGTGTACGCGCGCACACACACGCATGTGTCTGTACGTGTGTGAGTACCTGCATTCCATATTTGCTGCACAGCAGATAGCATAAATGCACAAGTAGGAAAAAGGAATAGTGGCCTGAGTGGCCCAAAGGGAATGCTGCTGATTTCATTTAGAGGAGTTCTGTTGATTTGACCTGCCAGCCTGCCTGCCTGCCTGCCTGCCTACTAATTCCTGTCCACAGAGCAATTTCAATATAACTCTGAACTGGATTCATCCCAGTTGTACGTGATTCTACTTCTGTGCATACAGTATATATCTTGCTATGTGAATAAGAATTAATATTTTATGGGCCTTTGGGGGGAAAAAGAAAGAGAGAGAGAGAAACAGATGTATTCTATATTTCTGGCTCTGCCTTCCATCAAGCCACAGTGAAAGACAGAAGAATTCTAAACTTAATGCTTCATTTCCTAAACATCTCATATGGGCTCTGTAGGGACTACAGGATATTGGGGATTTTATTAAAAAGCTGGACACCAAGCCATAGCTGAAAGACGAAGCAAGGTACTCTTAACATTCAAGCATTCATTTTGGTACAATTCAGTCGATGAACAGGTCAAAACAGAAATCTGCTCTTTTATTCCCATTCAAAGTCGAATCTTAACTATTCCAATGTGTCCATATATATTCATCTGCTAAATTTCTACCAATTCTAGGCCATAGCTAGTGCACTCCCTAGCCAACTACACCAGAGCACAGAGTGCTGTCCTCTGAAGATGCCGGCCACAGAGACTGGCAAAACATTAGGAAGAACAACCTTCAGAACACGGCCAAAGAGCCCGAAAAACCCATAAAAACCACAGGATAAGTTGTTGTCTCTTGTAGTTCTGAATGTGAAATAAGGGATGGTTTGCTTCCTTTTGTCTCCCTCTTAGAAAGGAAATATTTAACCACTATGTTCTTCAGGCTGCAGGCTTTGCCAAGTCTGTTCTTAAGAAGAAAAAGAGGAGAAGAAGAGAGACCACTCCTGCTAGAAGGATCAGAGAGCAGGGATCTCTGCAGAACAGCCAGCCGGTCTTGGCTGACAAGTTGTAGACATCAGAAAAGTTACATTTTTCATCTACAGATCTGCCCATGCGGTTGGGGGATTCTGGGTGTTATAGCCCAAAAATATAACTTTTCCAAGCTCTGACAAACAGATGGATCTATAGAAACAGCTCGACTTGTTCCTTTCCAGCTGCCTTGCCTCCCGAAGGGCAAGCCATGGGCAAAAGAAGATGGAAAAGACAGCAACACCCGTCTACTCCTTCCAACGGCTTTCTGATGTATCTGTACATCCTTCCACTGGAGGAAGGGAACACAGCACACAGAAAACTCAGCATGACCAAAAGGTGAAATCTCAGGACTAGTTTTAGCAAAACAGGAGATTGTCTGGGTGTCTCTGCGGAGGAAGCACTCATTCACAAGGACTTCCCATTCCTTGGGCGCCAGAGGAATGAAGGTCCGCAGCAGGGCAGTCACAACCCGCAACCTACTTTAAATGTATTCTGAAGTACTGCTGCAGTTCACTTAATGTCTTGTTAGGACTTTGTCCCACTGCATTGTTAGAGCTCAGAGTGGCTTTATGTGAATCACCCTGCACCAGAGTTTGCTTCTGGATAGGCTCCCTACTAAGCATGAGAAGCAAGATTTTCTTTACCCACCTGGGAAAAAACAAAAGCTTCTTAAAATGTTTAGGAGAGACAGACTGCAGTAAAAAAGAAAAGGGAAAGGGAAAAAAAACAGTTTGCCCCTGGGACACCTCTGAGGTGGGAGGCAGTCAACTGGACGAAACTGCTCTAGGATCCCTGGCATGTTTAATGAGACCATTTGAAATTCTCCCCCTCCAGCGGCTTACACATAGGACTGGCAGTTCATTTTAATTCTTCTGTTCTTCTCCTCTTCTCAACCTGATGGCCTCTGAGCCTCCTAAAACGAACCTCGGCAGTGCTATAAATCCAGGCTATTCTATTGTTTGGGGATTGCAAGATAATTCTTGATACACTAGGAACCATTCCAGCTGGCAAGCAGTCAACCTAGCCTCAAAACGTTGTGCTGTCTATCTTGGTGTCACTGCAATTGCATCGTTTGAATAATGGGTCGTTTTGCTTTTGCTGGCCAAGCACAGAGGTAGCGTGCAGGTCACAAGAAGGACTCCAGGATATGTGTGTGTGTGTGTGTGTGTGTGTGTGTGTGTGTGTGTGGGTGTGGGTGGGAAGAACCCACCAACATGTGCTGGACCACCTTACAGAAGTGAGAACTTCTAAATTCTACAACTAGGAAGCAGCGAAGGCAACTTCAAGCCAGGCCATCTGACACAGCAATGAATTGTCATTTGTTTCCAGTGAATTGCGGTGTAAAGCCAGGCCTCCCTCCAGACTCTGCAATAACAGTCCTTACTATAGAGCTGTAAGCAGTAACTCATTGGGAAACATACCTCTTTTCCCCCCCAAAGAGGGGTAGAAATTTCTAACTCTCCAAAGTGCTTTAATGAATCTTGTTCCCGTGCACGGAAAATAACAGGAGGCTTTATCTCTCTCCACATGGGATCATTGGGGAGACACTCTTTGCACACAGGTTGCACCTTTACCGTTGGAAAGGTCAGGGATGAGCCATAGCAACTCACAGCCCGATCTTTGGTGGAACGCGACTACAGAGAAACTGCTTCCTTTGCCCTTCAACAGGGGAGGAACTGAGGGATGCTTTTATTCTACCAGAGGCCATAAACCATGCGCATCCCAGCACTTTACCATTTCTGATCTAGCACATAGTTAGATGCAAGGTCATATCTAATCCTGGGAGTAGAAACAAGCCACTCTACAAAGTGTTATGGGGCTACTTGCTTGAACCCTGGGTTGTTGCAGCAACCAAAGATTACATCCTGCAAAACTTCAGCAAGGAATAGAGGACAAAGAGGTGATTCGTATACACATTCAAAAGACCTAGGATGTCGTCCTTAAACTAAGCTAGAAATTAAAGCAGAGCAATGCCATTTATGCTTATTAAAAGCCTTTCCTTTCCAATCAAGATAGTCCAGAAGGCTACTAAGAAAAGAATGCAGAGACATTACTCCTCATGCCACAAAATCTCAAGCAGTTCCTCAGAATTCTTTTGGAATTCAGCAGACAATGATTGAAGGGATTTCTCCACAGCAGGACTATTTAGCTATCCCAAACAGAGATGGGCACAAACTACGGGTTCTTGTTGGTTCGTTTGTTTTTGTCCAAACAGCACCTACTCCACTCAGAGGTAATGCCCTGAGGAGGTGCAGCAGGGAAGCACTAAATACCAGTTTGGCCAAAAAAAAAAAAAAAAAAGACTGGTACGAATGGTTGAACCGGCAGTCCATGCCCATCTCTAATCCCAAATAATCTAGGTAAATAAGAAAGGCCAACAAGACCATGGATTTTAAGGGCAGACACTTCATCATCAGTGTGCTGCTTAATAGCAGAATTGCAATAGCAAAAGCGGTTTATTAAAACAGCCATGTTCTTGACCTCTGGCAATCCCATTCACACAAAAATGTTTGAGTTAGTAGTCACCTTGAGTTTTTGACTGCAAGACACCTGCAGTTAATCTGGACTTTAAATAAGAAAGGGGAAATCCTATAGCTGCCTTGAGACCACTGGAAGAAAGTTGGGATAGAAAAGGAATCAATCATTCTTCAGAATTCCTTAGTAAATCTCCTCCTTCAGGATGGGTGGGGAAAAACATAATCACAAGACGTGTCACCCAGAGAGCAACACTTAATTTTCTCTCTTTCCCCTCTCTGCTCTCTCTCTCTCTCTCTCTCACACACACACACACATACACAAAGATATTTAAAAAAAAAGAAAAGAAAAGGAATCAATCATTCATCAGAATTCCTTAGTAAATCTCCTCCTTCAGGATGGGTGGGGAAAAACAATCACAAGACGTGTCACCCAGAGAGCAACACTTAATTTTCTCTCTTTCCCCTCTCTGCTCTCTCTCTCTCTCTCTCTCTCTCACACACACACATACACAAAGAGAGAGAGAGAGAGAGAGAGAGAGAAGAAGAAGAAGAAGAAGAAGAAGAAGAAGAAGAAGAAGACTTACCAACTACCATGATGTTGAACTCAAACCCTTGTTTCATGGCTTTCCTCCGCATCTGCTCAAGAATGGCATCGATCCCAACATAGGAAAAGTCAGCAGCTGGCTTCTCTGTCCGCGCTGGGACAGTTTGCTTGAGGCCTGCATCTCGAGTGGCATCCATCATGCTGCTTGGGTAGCTAGGAATGGCCTCTGAACCTGCTGGTGGAAAGAAAAATGTATTGCGTGTTTTATATATCATATTTCTAGTTATAGTGCAAGTTAATTAAAACTAGGTAACCTATATCAGTGAAAGAACTGGAATACTTCTTTGTAGCTAGATATGAAATGCAACAAATGAGCCAGATAATTAGTTAAGACAGATGAAAGTGCCTTATAATAATTGCATGCTGTCAAGTCAATTCTGACCCATTCCACGGTTTTCTAGGTAGAGAGTATAGAAGTTTACTATTTCCTTCTTCTGGGGGACCTGGGACTGTGTAGTGTGCCCACGACTACTACACACAGGCTAGCTCTCCTCTACACACAGCCTAGACCTCCAAACCTTTGGCTCTGCAGCAAGATACTTAAAGTCACTGAGCTATCCAGCCAGTTTAATAATCTAGTCAATGCTGACTCATGGTGACCCTTTTCAGGCTTTTCTAGGTACACAGTACTCAAAAGTGGTTGGCCATTCCCTTCTTCAGGGGGCATCCTGGGACTGTGCAGCTTGCCCAAGGACACCCAGGCTGGCTCTTGTCCCAGCCTCTGGCTCGACAGCCAGACACCTAAGTCACCGAGCTATTGGGCCAGTGCAAGTGCCATATGGATCTCTTTTCAGCCACCAACACAATTAGTTCAAGAATGATATAGTCATGAAATGAGTATGTAGCTGATGGTGTTAAGGAATTTATTTTTAATCATGCTTCTGCCTAACCAAGCTTAGTCTAAGTAGCAGCATTTTGTATTAGCTTGCCATGTTAGATCTTAGGAGATTTATAGGTTTCAAGCCCTGACCTTTTACTAACACAAGGAAAGAAATGTTTTGTTAAAAGAATTAAGGAAAACAAGAATGGGGTGACATAGATGAGACAGCAAAAGAGAAGCCTAAACATAATAAAGAGGGCAGAAGTCAGCTAGGACAGAAATCAGCTAGGACAGAAGGCTCCTTTATTTTAAGTCAGCTGTCCTAGTCAGATGAGGAATGTGGATAAGGTCCGTGATACATGTAGGGCAAATAAACACTAGCACACATCTTTAAACTCCAACACACACTGTTTGGGTATTAACCCATGTGTGCTCCTTTATTTTGCTGAATGAATAATTAAATAAGTCCTTTAGTGGATGTTCTCTTTTTTCTCCCACCTCGTAGGTAACTGGAATTGGCCACTAAGGTTTCAAAACTGTTAAGTTTTGCAAAAAAGGAAGACTTGAATTTTCACAGTACACAAGATCAAATCTCCTTTCTGCAAAAAAGACTTTCTACTGAACCAGGGGATCCCCTATACCAGTGGTGTCGAACTGTGGCCCTCCAGATTTTCTACTGAACCAGGGGATCCCCTATACAGTACACGAGTGAAAGCTGATTTCACTCATGGGTCTTTCACTCACATGAGTGAAAGCTGATAGGTGTGGGACTGTGACCTGCTGATCTTCCTTCCACACAGGCTCCCCAATTTAAAAAATTCATTTCAGAGTCATATGATGGGCTGTTGGCAATGCTCCTGGATCAAAAACTTAAGAGAGGAAGAATGCCTCTTGAAACAATGATATTTTTTTAGAATGGGAGAGCCCAGCATGGGAGGCGGGGAGATGTTTTGGCACACACTGGGAAATAATCATTCCACATGGAAACTATTTAGCTATTTGTAGGAATGTTCTGTTATCTTCGCCCAACAAGCAAAACAAACCATGTTTCCAGCTATCCTCATTTTAACAATAAATAATAATTGGGTGATGTCAAGTCAATTTGGACTTATGCTGATCCTTTCCAGGGTTTTCTAGGTAGTGAATACTCAGAGGTGCCTTCCCTTCTTCTGGAGGCACTTCCGTGACTGTGCAGCTTGCCTATGGTCGCACAGGCTGGCTCTTCTCCCAGGAGGCATTACACAGGTACCCGAAATTTATACTCTACTATAAACCAGAATCTAAACCCAAACAATCATAACTTCCATTCTGGTTCTTGTTAAGTTAACATTCTAGGTTGCAGCATGGAGTGATACAATCAATTCCTTTAAAGCTCTAGCCCATCCCTCCTTCCCACCCAGCCTAGCCAAAATGACTTGTTTGTTTTATTGATAGCATTAACAAGCTGTATCTTCCTCACCAAACACAAACACTTCTGCTGAGAAAGGCTTACAAAAGAAAACAAGAACAATCCAGTCATTAAAATGCGTTCAATGCAAACAAATAACAACTCACACGCAAAGGACTAAAAACATCTTGGTCAGAACAGCAGGAAAATAGCAGCAGCAGCAACAATAACAACATTCTGTCAACTGGATTATGACCTTTTCCAGGTTTTTCTCAGTAAATGCCTATTGCTTTGAACTCAGGGCAAACAGCTTTGAGAGATCCTAGAGTCATGTGCCGTGGAGTCCACTTTTCTCAAGCTTAGCCCTGCTTTGGCTGCCTACCACCCTCTGTGGGTGACTCATCTGCCCCCAACATTTCAAAAACAAGACAAGACAAACAAAAAGCCACGCCAAGGAAAGACTTACAACAAATTGTGGTAGAAATCACATGTGCAACTGAATTTATTTCTAAATATATTTCTTTAAAATGAAATACCAACATCTCTTATTGTAAAGTTGAATATAACCTTTGGTAGACCCAAACAAATAAATTGTGTGGCATGGGTGCAATTAGTGTCATTCCCACTCTAACCCCTTCTCCAGCTTCTTCAGCAAGAACTTTCTGTCATGATCTCATCTTCTCTGCCTTCTCCACGAAATCTAAATCATCTTCTCTATCTGCTGCAGCTCCAGGACACTCAGCCACTTTGGATATTTTAGATTACATAGGGCCATCCATTATAGTTGCTGGAAATGTGAAGGGGGTTGTGTGCCAAAAATGTGCACTTTAACATAAAGGTTTAGGGGGAGGGGGAGGAAAAAAAAACCCCAAAAAGCCTGCACGGAAGCAATGACAGATGACGCAGAGAATCTGCCAGAAATTCCTGCTATAGGGAAGAAGTGTGTCATCAAACTTACTCATGGCTAAGGATGCCAACACTCTTAGAGAACGCAGAGAACCCTGCACATTCCTTCTGTCGGGGTCAGAACCTACATTTAACAATGTGATCCTCACACATTTATCACAAAGAAAAGCCCCACCGATCTTGATGGGACTTCTCAGCCTGCTATATGTGTGTACAAGTCAAGCCTGGATGGAATGCATGCAAAAGTAATCTGAGATTGACTGAAATTGGAGGCGGGGTTGGGTAGTGAAGAAATCATCCCCCAGAATACGGAAGAGCACTAATAAACATTTAATAACAGTTTACACTTCAGCATATGTACAACTTCTCATTGCACAGTTAAGCACCCTGTTACTAACTTTCCAGGCTTGGGAAAGAGATGAGGGCAGATTAAGAACAGAAGTATAGGTAGCTGCACTGTATCAGATTCAAGCCCTATGATTCTGTTCCCACAAGGGTCAACCTGGTGCTTGTGGTTAAGTCCCCAAGGCGGACATGAGTGCAGTAGCACCTTCTCACTCAGGTTCCTCAGGAACTGGGGTATACAGAGGCATGCTGCCTTTTATAATGGAGATTAACAGCCGCCACAACTAGTAGCCAATGATAACTGTTATCCTCCATAAATGTGTCTAATATCTCCTGCCTTCTAAATTGCTGGACTAAGTGAGGATGCCCATGATCGTGTGGCGGACAGAGGAACAGACTAGGACTCACTTAGCAGGCCTGGGTTCAAATTCCCTCTCAGCCACCAAAGTTTACTTGGGCTATAGAACTGGTAAAAGGACTCAGTAAATATCTCACTTACCTTGAATGCCCTATTAGGGTTGCTATTAAGCCATTTCTCACTTGATGGCAGAGAAAAACAACATAAAGTTAGTGGACATCAAAGTATGCTATGGATAGTTTAACAGCGCAGTGTGCATGTACTTTCCTGTTGCCTGCACCGAATCTCTTACCTTTCCTCTTAACCAAATGGAACTCCATACTATACATAATTCAATATATATCTCTATTGTACCCCCCCCCTCCACATGAATCCTTCAGGTTAGAGAGCCACGGTTTAGGTATCTGGCTGCAGAGCCAAAGAGTAGGAGTTTGATATCCCACTATACCTCCTGGGAGGACCACCAGCCTGTGTGGCTTTAGGCAAGCTGCACAGTCCCAGGAAGCCTCCAGAAGAAGGAAACTGTAAACTGCTTCTGAGTTTTCTCTACCTAGAAAATCTTGGAAAGGGTTGCTGTAAATCAGAATCCACTTGACAGAACATATTTAGTATTATTATTATTACAAAAGACAGGAAACATTGCAATCTTTCCTCACAGGAAAACTGCTCTAGGTCCCTGGTTATCTGGGCAGCCTTTTCCAGCTCTTGCCAGCTTTCCAACATTATCACTGAGGTGCTGTGACCAGATCTATGCACAGTATTCCAAGAGCACACTCCAATTTTTTTATGCAGTAATTATATTGGTTGTTTTATTTTTCATTGCATTCCTATCGATTCTCAACAGAGGAGCTGCCTTTCTCGTAGCAACCATGAATTAGGTCAACGTTTTCACTGACCCATCTGACACAACCCCCAAGGTCTCTTTCCTAGTATGCTATGGATACCTAAGATCCCAGTAGTACGTTTGTAAAATTAGGATTTATTTAATTTTTTTCACCCATGTGCCTCACTTTACACTAGTTGACACTGAGCTACATCTCCTATTTTAATGCTCACTGACCCACCTTGGAGAGATCTTTTGAGGCCTCTGTGCTATTTCTTTGGGTCTAATCAATATAAAGAATTTGTTTCCATGTGCCAACTCAGCCAGTTCATTTCTCACCTTTAACTACAGATCGCTTATGAGGAAGTTAAAAAGCATTGGTCCCACTAAAGATCACCAGTATTATAACCTGCTACTGAGAACAGACGATGTATTCCTATTCTCTGTGTTTTGCTTTTATCTGAAAGGGTGTGCATGTGAAGATCCTAGTCACAAACTGTTTATCTATGCTTTGACTACAGGAAGTAGTTTGT